GAGGGTGTGGGAGGGGGGAGGATGTGGGAGAAGGGAGGCTTGTGGAAGAGGAAGTGGGAGGACTGTGTGATTGTGAGGGGAGTTCGGAGGAGGGAGAGAAGTGTGGGAGAGGGGGAAGAGGTGGGTGGGAGAAGAAGAGAGGGGAGGAGGTGTATAAAGGAGTGGGAGGATGGAGGAGGGAGGGGAAGGGATGGGGGAGCATTTGCTGGGAAGTGGCTCTACCTTGCTCTCCTCCTGGGATGGCCAAGAAAGGGTGGCTGTGGAGCAGGGGCAGCGTGGGGCAGGCTGCTGTGTGGCTGCTGTTCTGGGCAGCGGCTCTTGAGGAAGGGGCTTTGCTAGTTCTCCTGAGGTGCCTGGGCCCCAGCTAGGAAGTGGAGGAGCTGGGGAGGGGGCACTGATGTGACTGCCTGCAAGTTGCCTGGAACTCCAGGAAGAGGAGTTGGAGAGTCACCTACCTGCAGGTGGGAAGGGCTCTGAAGTCACCCCTGCCCTGTATCTCCTTGCCTGTGCCCCTGGGAGGGGGCAGAGGAGGAGGATTGGGGGCAGACTGGTCCTTCCCTGAGAGAGGGCCTTCACTACGACTCTATCCCACAGTCTGGTGTAGGCAGGCACCCTAAACTGCCTCTGAGTTGATCTGGCACAGGCCTGCTTCATGTGCAGGGGAGTCAGGCCCTCACCTTGTCTCTCGGTCCCCTTTCCCATGGTGCCGCCACCACAGCCACCCTAAGGACACTTCAGATGCGCAGTGAGCAAAGTCGCTGCTCCTAGGAGGACAGGCTGATAGTGTGAGGTCCGCAGCAGGGCTGGCTAGGGAGAGGAGCACACTGGGACCGGTGAGCACGGTCCTACTCAGCTTAGGCTGCTCAGGTGTGCCTGTCTGTCAGCCCAGACCTGGGTAACCGTTCTCCAGGGAGGGGGCTGTGGAAGAGGCTCAGCTCCCTAAGAGCCAACAGAACTCAGAAGCACCCGTCACCAGCCCAAGCACTGCCCCAAGAAGTGTGACAGGGACTAGGTGGGGCTGGCCAGGCTAGTCCCTCTGGAGTTGGAGTGTTACAACCAGCCCATCTCCTATAACTCCAAATACGCTCTCGGTGCTTCACAGGGCGGGCTGTGATGGTCCTCTCTGTCTGGGGAGAAGACAAAAGGCACAGGCAGGGGACACAGCTCAGTGGGTGAAGACACGTGCTTCCACGCCCGACGACCCGAGTTCAGTCCTGGGGGACCTACCTGGTGGAAGGAGAGAACTGACTTCCGCAAGGTGTCTTCTGACCTCCACATTGGTGCTCTGCACCCCTCCCGATAACTAAAAATGTAATTGAAAACTTTTTAAAAGTCATCTGTCTCCTTTATAAGTGTAGAAAACGCTGAGGTTAGGAAAGCATAGCTTCCTTCCGATACAGGTCTGAGTCCTGGTATCTAAGACCCACGTGGAGTGCAGTGTTAGGAGCATGCATGCACTCACTCCCTGTATTAGTACACTGCAACATGCAGCTAATTCTTCCATGAGGAAGGTCACCACTCAACTGTTCATCCCCACGCCAACAAGTATTACTTGGATATCCATCCTATGCCCAGCTCTAGGTGGCTTGTATCTGGCCATATAAGGAAAGAATATTAAACTAGGTGACCTTTGCTCATGTACACATATTTTAAAGAAAAACGTATCTTATATGGGATAAACGAACCTCTCTTCCCTGTGCTATTTTTTTTAAGTATTTGAAGCTTTCCAGGCTAGCACAGGAACCCAACTTTTATTTGTACTATTGTTTCTATTACAAAAGGTATTGTAGGTTCCAAAAGGCCAAATGAAACATTTCAAGAACAGTGACCGCATGCTGATAGAAGTCGGTCACTGGCTAACTGACAATAAAGTAACGATGTAAGTAGTTAATTACTGTTGCTTCCTTCACATTTCTCCTGTAGGTGAGCTCATGATCCAGGTAGGCTGTACCAGAAAATGTGCACACAAAGATGGGCAGCCGGAAAACACATCAGGGCACACAGGACGGCTCACCGGTAAAGGCCCTGATGCCAAGACTGAGTTCGATCCCTGGGACCCATGGTAGGGGACAGCTGACTCCTGCAAGTTGTCCTCTGACTTCCACATGAATGCCGTAGCATATGAGTGCCCACACACACTCATAAATAGAAAAACTGAGTATAATTAAAAAAAAAACACATCAAACGTGAAAGCAGATGGATGATACAAACGCTCTAAAATTCTTGCTCCTGATTAAAAACTTAAAAAAAAAAAGGGAAAGTAATGCAACAGGATCCATGGTAGAGTTCTAATAAAACACATTCTAGCATCCCTCCTTTGAAACCACCAAGCTGTGAACCTGGGCCAGGCTGTGACGTATGTCTACAGGTTGTGAGATCCACAGATAGCTGACATGACTTCGTCCGAGACTCCGTGGAGGACAGTGAGATCTGGATGAGATCAAGTGCAGGCGCCCGTCATCGACAAGCCCCACTGGGAGGACGCTCTGCTCTGTTCCGTATCTCTGGGCTCCTGCCAAGGGTGCTGCTGGCTACAGGTATACTTCCTCTTTAGGCTGCCCAGGCTTCACTCCGACCCCTTCCACTCTGAAGCAGGGTCCGCCTCCGTGGGTGGAGGCACCACCCCTGACTTTGCAGTCAGCCTTCATCTCACAGACTAAGATGAAGGGCGCTTCAGGCTTGACTGGCCTCAGTGAGGCTTCTTGTCTTCTGACGTGCTCACTTCCACCCCCAGCTTGTGTGTGTGAAGCCATGTGTGGACGTGTGGAGGTCAGAGGCTGACGTCAAGTGTCTTCCACTAGTGTCTTCCACTTGATCTTTGGAGGCTGCTCTGAAGTCAGATCTTAGGGCTGGCTAGACAGCTGACTGATGAGCTCCAGGGAATCCTGGGGTCCCTGCCTCCCCACTGCTAGGGTTACAGATATGTATCATCGTGCCCCATTTTCATGTGGGTCCTGGGGATCCCACTTCAGGTCCTCATGCCTACATGGCAGGCATTTTAGCCCCAGACAAACTCTCCAGCCCCCACCCCTTTCTGAGAGAAAAAGAAACTATCTAAAAGCCTTTATTAATATGATTGTTTTCAATCACCTATTTTTCAGTCTTATATTGAATTCAAGGACATGAAATACTGAATTGTTAGGCACAGAGGCGATATGGAAAAATTCTAACAATGGTCACCCAAGGGCTGATGCCTGAAACCTGGCCACTAGTGCACTGGGATTTGGATCTGTGATCTGGACTCAGGCCTGAAACTGCTATTTAGTCAGCCTGAATGAGACTCATGGGAGGTAGAGGAGAGGGACTCTGTAACATGGGCAGACAGCCTTTGTTGGCAAAGCAGACCAGGGCTAGAAGAGCCAGGGAGCTTTGGCAGGATGGGAAGTGGCCGCTCCATGTCCCTAGCTCTGTACCTCCACCATGGTGTATCTCTAGCTCCATGCACTCCCCATTTCTGCTCCCCTACAGTCCTGTGGTCCCCCTCAGCTCTGCACCCTCAGCTCCCTGTCTGCCACGAGCTCAGTATTCTGGGAATCGAGAGTTGGTTGTGCAGCCCAAGCTCAGGTTCAAGGTCTATGTGGGTTGTTACAGCTCTGAATAGACTGCCTTTGCATGCAAGGGAGCAGCTCAAACCCAAACCCGGCTCTTCTGCACCCTTTGGAAAAGGCAGGGGAATCACAGCAGTGCTATCTGATGGCAATGGGGTGGACAGTGCCTACCATGACTGGTCGGCCTGAGAAAGGACCAGAGATATCTAGCATACCCCAGGCACTGTGTTAATTCCAGTCTCGAATTCCCACCATCCTCATTTCATTTAGATCCCCAAAGCCCTGGAGGGAGCTACCAGGAATGTCATTCAGGAAGGAAGCAGCAGTGCCTGAGGCCACTACGAAATGTCTGGGGGATGTGGGAAGCAGCCCAGCTCCTGAGAAGGGAAGTGGGATTACCAAGAAGTGTCCTTTTTAATTTCCCCTTTGCATGAACAGGAGCTCCCTGTGACGGGTCTTAGTGAGAATGGGGTTCCAGAGCTGCAGGAGGGCCCTGCAGACTGTAGGGCCAGTCACAGTGGGATCCCAGCAAGTCAGATGGCTCAGCACCGAGAACACACAGCAAAGGGAAGCCAGTGATGGAGTGCTGGCAGCAGGTCAAGACCAGGGGAGGGAAGGGCTCTAGGACCACACTTGGAAGGGTAGTCAGCAAGCTGATGCAGAGAGCCAGGTGGTGAAGGGTGCTCTGCAGAGCAGGGTACTGAGTGCAGCTGGGGGATGGATGCCTTGGAGGTCTCCCTGTCTCAGGCACTCCCTGCCTCTAGTTGGGTGAAGACAGACACTAGCCCCTAACCCCAGCTGCTCCCATGAGCCCTCTGCAGTGGGACCCACTGTTCACCTGATGTTCTGTGTGTTACAGGCAGCCCTGTTTCTGTAAGCTGAAGCTAAACCAAGAAAAGCCTTTAATTCATTGTTACAGATTTAACAAGGCAGGGATGGGACTCCCCGGTTGTGGAAAGTTGGAATGTTGCAGATCAGAGTCAAATTATCCTTTCCTTTTGAAAGTCTGACCTTAAGCATGTTCAATGCAACTCTTAGGTTTGACCTAGTAATCTTGTGACTGTCAAAACCTTTAAAATGTATTAAGAAGTATCATTACATTTTTATTTCTTTTGTGCATGTACCATGGCATGTATGTAGAGGTCAGGGGATAACTTGTGGGAGATGATTCTTTTTACTGAGTGTCCTGGACTCAGGCTGTCACGATTAGTGCCCATGAGCTGACTTGCTGGCCCTAAAATGCTTCATAACACATCACTAGCTCCCATCAGTCAAAAGGCAAGAATGGCATTAGCACCTTAACAACCTTTATCAGGTTTCCTGCATTACTGTAACCCGCCTGCATGGTCCCTATATGACTACATGCCAACATGCTTGGCAAATGCTTTACAACTTAGCTCTGTAATTAATAAAATCAAACAGAAATACTTTCATGATGGGACTGTCTTTTGGGGCAACCTGAAGCCATGTTCCTTGGGCCATGGTCACTTGCATTCAGCTCAAGTATAAATGGTCTTTAATTCTCAGGCTTTGAGGTGAGAGCTGTTTTCTGTTGACATTTCCACCTAGGCCAACGTTGAGCCTGAGGCCATGGATTCCAGTCAATCTCAGGAGGCCAATCCGGGAAGGTCTAGAAGATGCAGTCAGGGACAGCAAGGGGACATGTGTGTTCAACTGAGAGCTGCAGCACTGTGCCTGCTGATGTGTGTCATGCCCACAGATGCACATGTATGAGCGTAGATGTGTACAGATACACTCACAGACCGCCACACACACACACACACACACACACACACACACACACACACACACACACACACGCACACACAGTCTGTCACAGACCTTCTCACAGCCACGTAGACATGCTGAGATACAGACAACCACACACATACTCGTCCTGCACCTCTGTCCTCATCCACACTCTGTT